TCTGGCTCATAATAAATATTGAGGGGAAAAATCATAAGTAGAATTCACACTCTTAGATTCTGTGAGTTAGTGGAAACTGCACTGCTGATTTTTCTGGGTGACCTGAGGCAAGTTTGGTTTTTTTTTTTTTTTGGTACCAGGAATTGAACTCACAACATTGCACTTGTCAGCCAGGCACTTTGTTGCTGAGCTATGTCCCTGGCCCTAATTTTTTTCTTTTAAGGTGATGGGCTTGAACCCTGGATCTTGTACATGCTAAGCAAGTACTCTACCGTTGAGCTATACCTCCACCCCTTTAACTTATTTATCTGGAAAAAAGTTGTTTGGCTTAAATGAGATCCTCATATTGTGAAATTTAAATGAAATAATGGGAAAGTACTTTTAAAAACATAAAACTAAAAATGTAATGCATTACTATTAAGAAAAGTGTGTATTTGATACTGGGAATCCAACTCAGGACTTCACACTTGCCAGGAAGGCACTGTACCACTGAGCTATATCCCTGGCATTAGCACTATTTTATCTCCTTACAGTTGGAAATACAAAACACTTAACTATACAGGCTGGGCATGGCGGAGCACACCTGTAATCCCAGCACTCAGGAGGCTGAGGCGGGAGGATTGTTGCAAGTTCAAGACCAGGCTGGGCTACAAAGTGAGCTCAAGACCAGCCTGAACTGCACAGTGAGACCCTGTCTCAAAAACACACACACACACAGAAAAAAACAGTTAACTATTTCCACAAAAATTTCAGTCAAATTCTTCTCAATTATGAAAGACTTAGATTTACATTTTGTTACTACTACTGCTGCTGCTGCTGCTGAGGATTGAGCCCAGGGTCTTGTACCTGCTATACATTTTCTACTACTGAGCTGTAGCTCCACCCCCTATCCTATCTGATTTCTAGGAGGAAGCCCATCTTTATATAATTTTACTATTTTTTTCTTGTTTTAGATGGCCAAGATCTCTGCGTAATGTGGTAGAAATCTTTAAGTGTGGAACACTGAGCAGGAGCTTTACCATTGGCTGGTCAAGAAGGAAGAGGCAGAATGTTTGCATTGTTACACCATAGAGTTCAAACTTTGGAAGACTTGGGTTGAGCGGTATCATTTACTCTGCGAGTGATCATGCCTTTACCTGTCCTCGGGGATGATCACAAACTGATGAAGCATGCTTTAGGTTCTATGAATTCAGATTACATTGTTTTCCAGATGCCCTGGCAGCTGGTACAGGTAAGATTGGGTTGAATTTTGGGGGAATGGCAGAAGGGAAAGAACCCACCCTTTGTGCTTTCTAGTACTTTCTGTTTTACATAAACATGTTCATGTAGAAATTTGGTTAACTAGCTAGGCACAGCATGCACCTGTAATCCTAGCTGTTTGGGAACTGAATCAGGAAGATCACTGATTTGAGCCCAACCTGGGTAATTTAACAAGACTCTGTTTCAAAACAAAAATTGTGAAAGGGCTAGGGATGTAGTTTAGTGCAAAGGCCCTGGGTTCAATCCAGAAAAAAAAGAGAAGAAAAAGAGGAAAAGAAAAAAGAGATTAGGTTAATTAAGTTCAGTTGTTGTATAAAACAGGTCTAATGTGGAGAAATACTTTGAATGAGATGCCCAAAGTATGAATCAATTAAAAAGCAAAATAAAAGATAGATAATAGGGAAATAGGTCTTTTTAAAAATTTTTATTTTAATTTTATGGGGATGTTTTGCTAGTGAGAAGAGGCCCAAGAGATGAAGGGAGGGAGGAGGGAAAGGTGGAGAAGGGAAAATAAAAAGCATTAGGATGTATTATGTACATATACCAGCTCTCCACAATGAATGTAATCATTATGTACTGTACCATGTACTAATAACTTTTGTTTAAGCAGAGAAATACTGCCAGAAGTGGTGGCACATGTCCGTAATCCCAGTACTTGAGAGGCTGAGGTAGGAGGATCACTGCAAGTTCAGGGCCAGCCTGGGCTACACAGTGAGTTCAAAACTAGCCTGAACTACATAGTGAGACCTTATCTCAGAGAGAGAAATACTTTGGTTGCTACAGTAGGATTTTTAAAAAAAATACAGATATGGAAAGCATGCCAGCCTGCGGAGATAGCTCGGTGCCACAGCACCTTCCTGGCAAGAGCAAGGTCCTGAGTTCAATTTCTGGTACAGAAAAAAAAAAAGCATGCTGGGCATGGTAGCACATGCCTGTAATCCTGAGTCAGGAGGCTGAGTCAGGAGGATCACTGCGAGTTTGAGGCCAGCGTGGGCTACAAAATGAGCTCGAGACCAGCCTGAACTGCATAGCAAGACACTGTCTCAAACAGACAAAAAAAAAAAAGAGAAAAGCAAAGTTTCCTTCACTTTTATTTTGTTTTAAAAATAAGTTTATGTTGTTTAGTGGTGTGATTTGAAAATGTTGGATAGCTTCTTTACATTTTACTTTCTATACCAAGTGTGGCTTTTAACTTTCAACTTTTTTTGTGTGTGAATGTGTGCTTATGCTGATGGGCTTGTCTTTCTAGGGCTTATGAAAAATGGAACCACACTCTCTGCGGACTAAAGTCCCAGCCTTCTTATCTGATTTGGGGAAGGCCACTTTGAGGGGAATCAGAAAGTGTCCCCGATGTGGCACGTACAATGGAACCCGGGGACTGAGCTGTAAGAACAAGACCTGTGGGACCATTTTCCGCTATGGTGCCCGGAAGCAGCCTAGTGTCGAAGCTGTCAAGATCATCACCGGCTCCGATCTGCAGGTCTACTCGGTGCGGCAGAGAGACCGCGGCCCTGATTACCGATGCTTTGTGGAGCTCGGTGTTTCAGAGACGACAATCCAGACTGTGGATGGGACGATCATCACTCAGCTGAGCTCCGGACGGTGTTACGTCCCTTCCTGCTTGAAAGCTGCCACCCAAGGTGTTGTGGAAAACCAGTGCCAGCATATTAAGCTGGCAGTGAACTGCCAGGCGGAGGCCACCCCTCTGACCCTGAAGAGTTCCGTCCTGAACGCCATGCAGGCCTCCGCAGAAACCAAACAGACCATCTGGCAACTGGCCACGGAACCCACAGGTCCTCTGGTGCAGAGGATCACTAAAAACATCTTGGTGGTAAAATGCAAGGCAAGCCAGAAGCACAGTTTGGGGTATCTGCATACATCCTTTGTGCAGAAAATCAGTGCCAGAAGCTTGCCTGAGCGTCGTTTCTTCTGCTCCTGCCAGACTCTGAAATCACACAAGTCGAGTGCCTGTAAGGACGACGCAGCCCAGAGATGCATTCATTTCTTTGCTTGCATCTGTGCCTTTGCCAGTGATGAGACTTTGGCTCAGGAATTCTCAGATTTCCTAAATTTTGATTCCAGCGGTAGGTGGTATGATTGACACAGTTACTCTTTTTTTCTAAAATGGCAATGGAAGAGGTACTCTGATGCTTTTGGAGATGGCCCTAGCAACATTCAGAAACAGTTAGATGATTCAGGTGAAAAGCATTTTCTTCATTTAACCCCAATCAGCACACTTGCATCAAGGTTGGTTTGTGCTTGGATTGTTGAAATTCATGATCAAGAGACTTGGGTGTTTTTGTTGAGATCATGAATCTAGCAAAGTTAGCTCTACCTCGATTTTGTTGTTCCACAGATGACCTATGTTAGCAAAAACTAAGAACAAAAAAATCCCTTTGATTTTGGCTTAATTTTTATCTCTGAAGATGAGAAAAATTAACACCTGCTCGTTAGACCATAAAGGTTTCTTCATTAACTCTTTTGTTATCACTGAAATATTTTTGCCTTGTAGGCACTTTTTTTTTAGTGGTACTAGGAACTTAACCCAGAACCTTCGCACTAAGCTACAGTTTCATCCTTTTCATTTGTTTTGTTTTTTTTTTTATTTTGTGACAGGATCTTGCTAAATTGCCCATGATGAACTCAAATTTGCTACCCCCCTGCCTCAGCCTCCGGAGTGCTGTGATTACAGGCCTGTACCTCTACACCCAGAACACTGAACATTTAATTTTTGTTCTTAGGGATTTTGTTTATGTTTTGCGCAGAACTTGTCTTTTTCCTTTTTTTTTGCAGAGCTGGGAATTGAACCCTGGACCATGCACATGCCAGCCTGGTTCTCCACCATTGAGCCCCAGCCTCAGCCCCTTTTTTATTTCTTAATGATCTTTATTTTAACTGGCAGCAGATCCCAACTTTTTACTTTTGCACTACTTTATAGAGCCTTCTATCAAGTTAATATTTTATGAACAAAAGCACTATTTTGGTGGAGTCATTGAGTGAACTTGTTTTAAAGCAGGCAATCTCTCCATCTTTCATTCTGTGGATTTAGAATTTTATAAATGAATTTTTATCTAGATGGGGCTCTCACTTTTGGATAGTGTCACAATTCACAAATCTTTTATTTTTTTAGGTCTTAAAGAGATTATTGTGCCCCAATTAGGCTGTCATTCAGAGTCAGCTGTATCAGCTTCTGAGTCTACTGCCTCTAAACCGAAGAAGAGGAAAAAGGAAGAAGTATCTGGTAAGAGCTGTTCTGTTTCTCTGTTTGGTGGTTTGTCGTTGGAGACTGTTTTATGTTTTTCCCTGAATCTCAGAAATTATAAAAAAAAATTTGTGTTCTTATGGGTTTTGTTTTTGTTTTATGCAGTGCTGGGGATTGAGCCTGGGGCCTCACACATGCCAGGCAAGTACTCTACTACTGAACTATGCCCCCAGCCCTTCTTATGGTTTTCTTTTTTCCTGAAAATATTTTACCTCCACTGATAATTCTTTGTGAATTTAAAAGTTAGCTCTGCTGTAAAATATGATGCATCCAAGTTGCATTTTTATTGTATATATGTTTGTTCATCCTGTAGGCATTCAGACTAATTGTGTACCTTTATCTGCCTTCGGATGGTATGAAGTTTTGTTTCACAAAACACTTAAAAAGAAAAACACCTGTGGACTGGAAGTATAGCTCAGTGGTAGAGCACATGCTCAGCATGCATGAGACCTGGGATCATTCCCCAGCACCAAGTAACTTGGGACAGTAGTTATATTTCCCACCTTCATTTAGAAACACAGTTTATTGTTTGTAGTTTGTTCTTTGGGTGTCTGTGTATATATGTGTAGATAAATAAATAGCTATTCCTCAATTTATGATATTTATATCCTGCTAATCCTATCATAAATTGAAACTACCATGAGTTGGAAAATTCATGGAACACACCTAACCGATCAAACATCAGAGATAACAACACAGAAGATCAGCTGTTTCTCCTTGTCATCTCACGGCTGGCTGAGATCTGGGGCTCACTGCCGCTGTTTAGCATTGTGAAGGAGTATTATGTCGAATATTACTACCTTAGGAAGAGATTGAAATCCAGCAATTGGCTGGGGATTTAGCTCAGCGGCACAGCACCTGTCTGGCAAGTGCAAGGTCATGAGTTCGATTCCCTGTACTGGAAAAAAAAAAAAAAAAGAAATCCAACATTTGCACTGTAGTTTCTACAGATAGGATGGCTTTTGTGCCATTGTACAGTCAAAAAATTTTAAGTGAAACGATTACAAATCAGGGACTGCCTATACACACAACACATATGTTAAATTTAAATACTTAGTGCGGGGTATGGTGGCACGCACTGTAATCCCAGCACTTGGGAGGCAGAAGCAGCAGAACGAATTCAAGGCCAGCCTGAACTGCGTAGTGAGACCCTGTGTAAAAAAATAAATAAACCAGTAAATAAATAAATACATTAAAATACATTAAAAATAAATTTAAATGCCTAGTGTCAATTAAAGACTAATATAAATCAACATGAAAATGCTGAAGTACCTTAGTAGATCAGTGTCAAGAGAACTAGACTCTAAACAAAATGAAAGTATTACCCGGTCCACGCATGTGGGCCAATCAGCAAACTCACTGTAAACAGAGTAATGAAAGCATTTTAGAAATACAAAATTAAAATAACCATCGCTACCAGGTTAGCAAAGAGTTTTTAAATGATGAGACCATAAGCAAAAGTGACATCCTGGCTCTTGGTCATGGCTAATGTTGTGTAAATTATTATAACCACTTTCAAAAATAGCTTATGGCCAGGCATGGTGGCACACACCTGTAATCCCACCACTTCAAAAGCTGAGGCAGGAGGTTCACAGTGAGTTCAAGGCCAGCCTGAACTATATAGTGAGACCCTGTCTCAAAAACCAAAACAGCTTGTGGTATCTGTTAAAAACCTTAAAATGAGCCAGGCATGGTGGTACACACCCGTAATCGCCAGCACTTGGGAGGATGAGGCAGGAGGATCATTGCTAGTCCGAGACCAGCCTGGGCTACAAAGTGAGCTCAACGCCAGCCTGAACTGCATAGTGAGAGCCTGTCTCCAAAAAACAAAAACAAAAAAACCTTAAAATGATCGGGTGTTATAGTATATAATTGTTACCTTAGACTTGGGAGACTGAGATGGAAGGATCATGAGTTTCAGGCCAGCCTGAGCTACATATCGTGACTGTCAAAAAGAAAACTTAAAATGGTCTTCCAATAGGGAATATTGCTGCAAGTGGATCAGCTGGACTCATGCACAAAAGTTTTGATGCCAGGAAGTTGGAGAAAGATGGAGAAACAAAATGTGGTTATTTTGTTGCTGTAGAGAAGCAGTTCTAGCAGCAATGAAGCACAAGCTGTTCAGCCGGGTGTGGTCGCCCACACCTGTAATCCCTACCACTTGGAAGGCTGAGGCAGGAGGATCGTTGTGAGTTCAAGACCAGCCTGGGCTACATAGTGAACTCAAGGCCAGCCTGAACTGCATAGTGAGACCCTGAGTCAAAAAGACAAAAAAAGAAAAAAAATAGCACAAGTTGTTAAAATGTTCAGGAAAGGGCTAGGGATGTAGCTCAGTGGTGCATCGCCTGCCTGGCAAGCATGAGGCCCTGAATTCAATTCCCAGTACCAAAAAAGAAAATAGTGAAAAAAGGACCAAAAAAAGAGAAATCTACAGTCACTTTAGGCTGGGTGTGGTGGCGCACACCTGTAATCCCAGCACTCGGGAGGCTGAGGCAGGAGGATTGTTGCGAGTTCCAGACCAGCCTGGGCTACAAAGTGTGCTGAAGGCCAGCCTGAACTGCATAGCAAGACCCTGTCTCAAAAAGACAAAAAAAAACAGATAAAATAAAATAAAATAAAATGTTCAGGAAAACCTGAAATTCTTAGGCAGGGGGCGGGCGGGGGGGAATGTTTCTACCTTTTGATTGATTTTTGTAATTCCATTTCTAAATAATATTTTTAGGGAAATAATCCTTGGTATGGAAAAAACATTTTTTCCAAAGATGTTCATCTTATGATTATGTACAACACTGTGTTGAAAATATTATAAATAGATACACTGGGTATAGTTAAGTGAGCCGTCATAAAGCTGTTTTGCCATAGAATGATAGGCAGCTGTTAAAAGTTACAATAAAGACAGAGCATGGGGGCACATACCTGAGTCCCAGCACTTGAGAGGCTAAGGCAGGAGGACTGCAAGTTCGAGGCAGCCTGGGGCTGGGGATACAGCTCAGTGGCACAGTGCCTGCCTGGCAAGTACGTGGTCCTGAGTTCCATTCCTGGCACACAAAAAAAATTAAAAAATAAGAACAAGGCCAGCCTGGACTCACAGTGAGACCCTCTCTCAAAAAAAGAAAAAAAAAAAAAA